CCTCATTTTGGTTCTTTATTCTTCTTTTTTCCCCACACCCCCCCCCCCCCTCCCCTCCCCCCCCCCCCCCCCCCGTCTCTTTATATGTCCAGCTGGCTGCGCCACAAAGACCGCATCTTCCAGCTCCAAATGATTCTCGAACCCCCACATGCTTTGTTCTGCTCATTTTCCCACTCCTGGGAGACACTTATTCTCGCTAAGATTAAAATAAAGGAATGACAGAGGGAGAGAGGGAAGGATTGGAGGGAAGAATGAGGAAGCGCGAGAGACCGTGTTTGAGAAGAAGGGAGGAAGTGGAGAAATACTCTGAGACACAATTTGAAAAAGAAAAAAAGTTACATGCTTTTTTTTTTTTTTGGAAGTTGGATAGTTTCCTATGGAAGCCCGTTTCCGCAACTCTGTTAAAAAAAATATCTCATTATAATGAGATAGTATCATTTTGAGATACTATCTCATTATTTTGAGATAATTCATTTTATTTTTTTGTAACAGAGTGGCGAAAATTGGCTTCCATAGTTTTCAATTAGAGACGAGTTTTTATGTTAAGAGTTTTAACTCCAAATTGTATTTGGGATTTACAAAATCGCCAGCAGCAGATACATGTGGAAGAACTCATTGTTTTCTCATTTCGTGTGAATGTCATTGTTCATGGACGTTGAATAAATAATAAATATTTAATAAATAATAAAAATTATAAATAAATAAATGAAATAAAAAAAGCTGTGACGGGATGAGTCAAAAAGCCAATCGGCTTCCTTCGGAGTTGAAGCAAGAAGATCGGCTGCCTGCGCTGAGTCTCTTCCGGTGTCTCTCACTGTGACTGCTTAGATCATGTTTAGTGGTACTCATGTGGTCAATTAGAGGTAACAAATCCCTCCATCGCTGAATAGTTTCAGATCCACTATCCCACCCTGGTGGAGTCCAACCCCCGCCACCCGCCGACCCCTCCAGTTCCCAAGCTTGTGTGAAATCAGTCAGTCGGATTCTTCTACAAAAAAAAAAAAAAAAAGAAGAAGAAGAGGAACACAGTATGGAGATGTGGGCCGGAACTAACAGGATTGGTTTTGATTCATTAGATTCTCTTTCATCGTCGTGGTTGGAATGCTGCTCCACATCTCCTCCAGCTTCGCGCTATAAAATTTAATTTGGGGAGGGGAGGGAGGGGCTCGTGTAATTGGGGCCGTTTACTGCAAAACCTTGTTACTCGCTGGAGTCACCTGTTAGTCGAACCGCCAGGCTGAAACTGAATTCGTTAGCAGGTCAAATGCGGCAACCGACACGTAGAACAGCTGCGCAAATCAGCGAAACACAATAACGCCCGGAGGTTCTTGAATCCACTTTTGCTTGAGTTGCCTCATTTTTGTGAAGACGTATAAGGATGAACGTTTTGATGCAAACCTGCTCAGGCCTCACAACGGAATCGCAGTGATCTTTCTGGACTGAGCATGCGGCGCAAATGGCGCACACCGTTTTACCTTAAAGGTTCCGGATGTGTGTCAGCTACAAGTGTGCTACATTAATACTGGAGAAAGAGTTGAAAATGTCTGGAAGTCACTCCAGGAAAACTAGGGCGGATGTACTTCATCTGTTCTGTTCAAAACTTTTAAATAACTCAGTAGATAAACCTCACAGCAATAGTTCGATTATTTTTTATCCATGTTAAATGAGTTCATTTTATCATAACACACCGGATATCAACGCTGCATTGAGATGTGTTGTTTTCCAATTTGAAACGCATAATACACCTCCTGCACTCAGAGGTAGACGAGTAACTACGCTTTATTTTCCTTCCACTTCACAAGGACTCACTTCTTTTTGCTGGTCTATCAACAAAAATCCTAATAAATTACATAGTTACTGTGTGAAGGTTCAATACATTCCCAAGGCTCTGAAACACTTTCTGCTTATAGCAGCTGTTTCAGATTTCTGATCATTGTCATGGAGCATGAAGTACCGCGCTCTAAACTGTCAGTAACCATAGATAAAGATTTCAATGTGTCAAGCTGAAATGCTCATGAAATAGCTTTCAGATCAAACTGGTACGATTTTGGAGATGTAATTATTGTAACATGCCAGACAGATGTTAAGACTGGGCCAAGTCACTCGTTGGAAAACTCATCTGTTTTCATCAAAGCATAGAAACTCTGAGCGTTCAGGCCGCAGTATTGTCTGCCGCCACCCACTTTACAGAACCCCCCCCCCCTACTTCCAGAAATCTCAAGCAGCTCTTAGCATGCACAGCAAGAAAATGAAAACCACTTGTCCTCTTCTCTGAAACTAGCCTGGTAAAAAAAACAAAAACAACAAAAACAGCCCCTTGTTCTATGCTTTACTTCGTACAGAGTCCGGAACCTCGGCTATTGAGAAATGATCAATTGCTGGAGGTGTGGGCTCGGTTGAAACATGGTCGACACACAACTGAGAGGCTTCATTCACTTCCTCCGTTGCTGTTGCCAAACTACAACCTTCGATAGGCAGACTGCAATTCTAAAACAGCACTGAAAATTTACCTCATTGTTCACAACTCCTTCTTGTTTCCTGATTGGTCCAATTGAAATTCAACCAGAGAAATCTAGCTCAATGGGAGAAATCCCAGGCAGAGCACAGAAGGGAGATGAGAATCGAACAGAACTGAGTAGGAACGCAATGGCCAGGCTACTTTGAAACTTTGTGAAATTTTATGACGTATCTTTACTTAGCTGTCATTAATTTGTGGAAATCAGTTTTTACTTTGACATTGGAGATGTTTCTGTAAACTTTCTTGTCAGACAGGTCACATTTTATTTATCACTGTAAAAGAAATCAAAGGCTAAAACATTAAAGGGGGTGATTACTTTTAAATGGGAGCTGTACTTCAAAACTGTGACAAGACCTAAAGCTCCACAAAATGTGATTCGCATCTTTCTGTTACTATTTTGTTTACGTTTTATAAAACAACAGACATGGCAAAAAGGAACCAGTGTGACAGGGAACGACTTCACCCATCCACACTGAGAAGAAACAGGACAAAAACACTCAGAACCTCTAAGTTTATCTAGAGGAGATGAAAACTGACTCTAGAAGTTAAGAGAAAAACTGATTCAAAAGTTACATTTGTGACAAGCACTGCTACTTAAAAATCAAAAATAATAAAAAAAAGAGATGCAAGAAGTTTTGGAAGTTCATTAAGAGATTGCTGGCATTCGTTTTCAGAGCAGTCTCAGTCTCTAGTTCTGTTCTTCACAACAGGGAGAGATTCTTCTTCTCCACCCTCAGCCCCATTTTCCCTGCGTTCTGTATCTTGGGGGATGTGACCCTGCTGCCGCCAACGATGCTGGCCTCCTAGTACGTCCTTAAAGCCTTAGCATGCACCGGCTCCAGGAAGTGCAAGGGCAGCAGCATGAAGAACGCCACCAGGAAAACTGTCCCCACCACTGCCAGGAGAACGTAGCGGCCAATGAAGAAGGTGTCGACTATCTGTAGTGACAAAAACAAAGAATGAATGGATTTGGAGTCATTCGGGTTTGCTACACATTTTTCAAGAGGTTCTTGAACCAGGAACATGAAAGCTCCTTTTTTTTTTTTTTTTGGTGTTTCCTCAATTAACCACTAGGTGTCATGAGAGGACTTTGGACAGATGGATGCTGAGGCTTTGTGTCTGAATGTTTTCCTTATTGTCTCTTTGTTGTGGGGAACCTGCAGCAATTAAAGCGTTTACTGCTGAAGGGGGCGGGGCTTCATACACGCCTCCCTCCAGCAGGTCTGTGGCTCACTGTAGTGAGGTCTGCTGCTATGAGAGATCCAGTCTGAATCAGTATTTAGCCACGTTTGAAATGAAAGAGACACCTTGGCTGCAGTCATTATCTGAGACTAATTAACATTAAATTCGATAGAAATGATCTCCTTTGATGTTACACAGCCCCACATTAGAAAAACTATGAAATTCATGGTTTGCTTAAAACTTGAATGCTATTGTATTTGAGGGCAACACAGGTCAGTGCAGCAGCTACTGCAAAGGAAGAATGGGGGACATGTATCGGGACAGGCATGATTGCACTCTGAATCTGGAGAATGTGCTGAGAATACTGAGTCAATAAGTCACCGCGATGTGTGTGCGCAGGAAGAACGGGATAAAAAAACCCCCACATGAAACCATCTGGTGTTTGATATCCTAAATGTCAGAGTGTCTTTAAAGTGTCCAGGGAAGGAAAGGCATCATTCCAGAGCAGAACATATCCTACTTTTCCTGTTTCCTTCTGCAACTACAAAGCAAAAATCCAGGTTTGACTTTCTTTTTTCTTTTTTTTTTTTTTAATATTACCCAAAGCAAAAGGTCAACAAGCCTTTTCTCCTCTGTGAGCTGTAAAGTTAGACTAATGGCTTCATGAAATAAGTCCATTCTATGTGACAATTTGACTAGTTCAGTTTGTTCCTGTTCTTTTTTGGGAAAGAGACCAAATGTGTTCTCCGTTTAATACTCTGAGGTTGTTTGCAAACAGGATACCCATATGTAACACACTGCAGCCAGATAATACATACTGTAACACAGAGTAACACCGGTGAATGGGGCGGGGCTTCAGCTGTGTTTTCATGTCCTGATGTCTCCAAGAGAATACTGGAGACATCGGGACATCAAAACAGACTGAAGGAATGTGATGTTGAAAGCAGATTTAACCTGAAGGTTCACCGTCCCATAACAACAGGAGAAACTGGCCACTCCTCAACATTGACTAAATTGTCGACTTTTTACCAACTGATTCTTACTTCATTGCACCATAGTTAGAGTCAAACTGCACTCCATGTACTGTAACTGGATGTGAATGTGACTACGTGACTGTACCGTATTGTTGTGAGCTGAACTAAACTGAATTTGGACCAAATTTTATGCAACTCTCACAAGAAGTAGACCCGTCTGTAAAGCGCTGCGAGATGACATATCTGAGATTCTAGCTCGTCTCCGTGTTTTTGATGTTCAGCAAAACATCCCAGCTCAATAGTAGCAGAAGCACTGCAAAAGTGAGCTGCACAACCAGGAAGAAGGTAAAAATCTTTGCATCTTAAAGCGCAAAGTGCCTCTTTACGTTTATGTCCTGCTGTTTGTAGCGCCGCTCCTAAATGAAATCAATGAAGAGACGCAAAGCAAATCAGTGGCACTTCGTGAAAACTGACGATCTTCAGGTCTAACGTCGCAGCTCCCTAGGATGGAAAGGTTGCCATGGAGTGACGAGTCCTATGCTTCACTGATAACTCTGGGTCTGCGTTAATATTTCAGTCATGAGCCACCCATGATGATGAGAATGCAAACTGAGAAAACACCCTTAAGCCAGTATGATTGAAGACGAGCAGCAGCCCAACTGCTGCCGAAAGAGAAATTTCATAAGGACTGCTGTGGAATGGGAGTAGTGTGCGTGTGTATGCGTGTGTGTGTGTCTGGGAGAGCTGCTGCTGATGTATTCCATCTCTTATGAATGCATTTAACACATCTCACTTTTTAATTTGCCAATTACGCAGCAAGCAGGAGCCCAAAGTGTGTGGGCCATGTTTTATTAATGTGCCACTGGGTAGGAGCAGGTGGGGGGTGGGGGTGTTGTATGAGCCACCCCCACCTCCAGTCTAACACTGGCCTAATTGGTACTGTGATATTTCACTGTTGTTTAACAGCAAGAGGTTAAACATGTCTCTCTCTGCTGGCTGGTCCTGTTCAGCCCGTCGTCGCTGAATATTAACACACACAGAAACACAAGGCGCAAACAGGAAACGGCGAGTTTAGGTACCGATCCTGACAAAAGAGGACATGTTAACTGAGTACAGGCTACGCCAAAACATTTAGACTTGTTCTAGTTTATCACTCGTATTTCTGCGAGGAGCGACACTTGTGCTGACGAATCTTGGGAACTCAATTCCAGCCAGGTTCCTGAAGTGAGTTTGGTCTGAATTTACTCGGAGTATTCAGCAGAAATTCCCATTTTGCAGTCGCTCTCTCGGCATCGCTGTTCTCCTCTATCAGCACTGTACAGAGAATAACAAAGCGCGAGCTGGCCAGGACGGGGCTCTGCTTTGCTATTTTGATGGGGTGGCAGCTTGCTTGGCAAATCCGGACAGCTTACTGGCACGACCCGAAGGCAACACGGGGAGTGTTTGTTCTGTGTTGCTGTTGGATTCAGATAAAGCAGAACAGGCCTTTACAACGAGCACACGCACAGAGACACACACGCTGGCTTTATTTACAGGCCTGCAGTTCTGTGGAAACAGGCTTACAGAAGAGCAGAATTAAGGTTTCCTTTAGGGTAGGTGTTTATCTTGAGCAGCCTTACTCTTAACCAGAGCTCATACCCTCAGTCAGTGGAAACAACAACAACAACCACAAATAAAGGGAACTGGACTCTCAATCCATCAATCAGTTTGTAGAGAAATACCCCTCATCTCGACCTGTTCTGCTTAATTAAACCTCTTCACTGTCATGGAGAAGACCCAAGAGCTTTCAGAGGACATCAGGGACAAAATGGTATATCTGTGGAAACCTGGAATTGGCTAGAAGATCATCACCTTATTTTTATTCAGATATGGAGTAAATATGAAACGACCATCAAACGTTCTCGAGCTCCAGCTCCAGCCAAGATCGTACCTCGGGTTTTGCAGCCAGAGAACAGCACAAGGTAAGTTTTGAGGAGAAATTGGCTGAAGCCGCGAGATAGTTGCTGTGGCTTTCTAACGAGCTACATTTTGTAAATGCTTCTAGTTGCAAATCTGGCAGTATTTGACCGGTCTCTAATCCTAATTTGAGAAGTCTCTGTTTACCTTGCTGACAGTGGAGACATTTATAAAGAGAGAAGACAGTAGTACTTGTGAGTATTTCTACCACAGGTGTTTGACCAGCTGGTGGTTTACCTCCATCTCTTTGAAAGGAAGAGGCGTCTCTGGGCTCCGAGGGAAGAACACCAGCACCAGAGTGATGGTGAGAGCCAGGAGGGTAGCGGGGATGACTCCTAATCTGCAGGACACAAGCAATAAAAAAAAAACTGTTTGTGTTTCGTATTAACTGGGAATGACAGTGTCCTGAGCATTACGCCATAATAAAACTATTCCTCAAAGACACCAACCAATATTACACTGAATCCCTGTTCATTTACAGCAGTGGTGCCCAAAGTGGGACCTCGAGAGCCGGCATCCTGCATGTTCTCGTTCTCTCCCTGGTGGCAGCAACAACCTTTTCAGCATGTCAATGCCCTTCTTAGGCCGTCTAATGACCCGTCATCGGATCCAGCAGTGCTAAACCAGGGAGACAACTAAAACATGCAGGATGCCGGCCCGCGAGGACCCACTTTGGGCAGCGCTGATTTAAAGAAATCGAGCTAAAATAGTCTGGTTATGTCAGAGCAAATTCATTTCTGTAGACGTAATAGTCGGAAGGACGGACAGACTGATGGTTTTATTCGTCTCCGTAGAAAACTGGTTCCCAGGATTGTCGGCAGGCAGCACACAATGACGTTAACAGCAAAGAGGTTTGAATTTCCCAGTAACTGACTTGACCTTTTTAACTGTTTGCTTCCAATATGAAAGGATGTCTTCATATTGTTCTGTTTCTGCACAATAAAGGAATTGAGTACTTTTGCCCTGAAGGAAGCAGTTTAAATAAAGATCTTAGGGTGTGTGTGTGTTGTCTGTTATAATAGTGTTTGCCTTCCTCATAACTCTGTCCATGTATATATTTTCCAGGTCATCGTGTAACTTCAAGATTTCTTCTGCTCCTCTGCAGACTTTCCAAACCAACATGTGTTGCAAAAGGTTAAAATACTCTCTATAAAACAATATTGCCATATATATTCCACACAATGCCACTACAAATTACCAAAACTTCTCCCTTTATTCAGGTTCCCACAGTGACGAAAACCATGTAATAAACTCATTTGACCAGTATGACCTATGGGCTATTAATCAGCTTAGATTTGGTGTTTTCTTATAGTAAATAAATAGGAATGCAGTGTAATGAGTCAGTTCTTGATGTTCATTTAACATCCTAGGAATTTCGCAGTATATTCTGGTGTTATAGGAGACATTTGCTCATCCTGTTGTCACAGTTCCTTCCATCACCCAGTTTGTACTCGCTGACAAGGACACTGATGAATCCAAAAGAAATCATCATAATCTGTCTTTTTTTTTTTTTTTTTTTTTTTTTTACAAAAAAAAAAAAAAAAAAAAATTTTTTCTGGGGGTTTTTTTTTTTTTTT